TGTGTGTGTGTGTGTGTGTGTGTGTGTGTGTGTGTGTGTGTGTGTGTGTGTGTGTGTGATGGTGTCTAGCTGTTCCTCACATTGTTGTAACTATAAGTCCAGTGTAGAATTCACACCCTTGTGTTGTGTTACAGTTCTACTTCTTTAAGCTTTAAACACCTGCTGATGGTAAAAAGAAGGCAATGTGTATTCTGCCGGTTCATATGAAACACGATACACACAGTAAGTGTTTCATAAAGCCTCATTCAGTCTGAGCTGAATGATATACGTACAGTATATTACTGCATAGAACTCAGAGGGGTCCATCCCAGAATTGCTGAATATGACGATATTTCCAAAAAACACATTTTCTGTATTACAGTAAATTGTAAATTTGCAGGTAAATATGTATTGAACGCGCTGTGATGGTTTTGGAAGTGGAATGATGATGGAACCAGATGAAACCTAAATTAATCAGAAATGCTTTTGATAATCAATTAATAGTTGAAGTTGTTCTTCAAGACACAAATCCAGAACATTACTGAGTTTCAGCTTCTCAAATGTGAGGATTTGCTGCTTTTCTTTGTCCTGTGCGATATTTAAATGGAGTCTCTGTAGATGAGGCAAAGCAAGCAGTTTTCTGACAATTTACAGAGCGATTGAAATAACAATGCGCTTTATTTTAAAGGAACAGTTATAAAGTGAAGTTCTGCTTAAAGAGAAATAGTGCTTTCTTCAAACATAGACATCAAATAATTCATAGTCGGCTCAAGTCTTATAGGCTTCTTCTATAAAGCTGCTATAATAACTGATCAAACTGTCAATTGGTAGCCTATTAATGAATGGATATTCATTGTGGTTCCTGTGCTCTCTCACTACTTTGCAAGTACTAATTAATGCAATTGGCGTCACTGCAAACCCACACCCAGGTGACAGGACACACACACACACACACACACACACTGACTCCCACCATCCCATGATATACGATGATGACTTAAAGAAACAACTGGGGGCATGTCTGCAAGTCGCACTGGTTCTCCGAGTTCTAAAATTTAGGAGCACTGTCTCCTAAAGTGGTTGCAAGCGGCAACTAAATGGTCAACGTGTCCTTGTGCAACTTTTCGTATGATATCCTACGAGAAGTTGCTCCTTATGTTTTGCTCGTTTTCCTATGATTTGGCAG